AATATATAATATAAAATAAATAATAAATAATAAATAATAAAGAGCAAGTAATATAAGTAACTAAGTATAAGTAATAACAAATATATAAAATAAGTAAAGAATAAAAACTGCCGCTCCGGTTTTTTTGTTTGTTTACACGATATTTGACTGAAAGTTTGTATGTAAGACGCTAAATATAAATAACATATCAAGAAGTGAACAAAGTACAATAAATAAAACTATAAAAATATCACCAATGCCAACTGTAAATCAAGTAAATTAGTTTTTAATTATTTACGGCACGATTTAGAAAAAAATAATTGCCTGAGTTTAAAAAATTCTCTAGTGGAACGTTAATATCCTCAGTATATACTAAAATTAAATCCATTAATTTTCTAAAACAGAGAAAGTATTTCTTTGAAAACCAGCCGGTGCGTCAGTAAAAAGTTTTATTGTGCAATATATTATAATAAATTTGAAAACTTGGCTCGGTGTTAGTATTCCTTCAAATTACAGATTGTTGTTCTGACATGACACAAGATCATTTATTTATGTTAATAAACATATCTATTTAAGATCACTAATTAACGTAGGTATATACTATGCTGGAAAATCAATACAATAGAAATTTTAAATTGTAAATTAATAAGATTTATTCCTCTAAATGTATTAAAAATAAAATTTCATCCTTTGTTTAAATATGGATTTAATTCAGTCTTGAAAGCATTCCTTTTGGAATCAAATGTAAGAGTAATTTGAAAAGTTTTCATATTACTCAACTTTAATGAGTATTCCTAATATGGACTATTATACCATCAACATTTTTTCGATATTTTAAGTTTTGTATAAACATAGTAACATAGCCTGCTTAGGCTGGATAATACATATTTTTATCTTAATTTACTTTTGTATAGGATCTTCATTTGTAAAATCATTAGTTGGCAATATAGAAGAACTTTGACCTTTGAACACTAGAAGCAAGTTTGAAAACAATTTTGCTATTCTTGTTTATTCTATAAATTGAGAGTTTCCAAGTTTCACAGTTTCTTAAGTGCTGTATGAATAATCTTTAAGAGAGTGTCTTGTAAAAGGTCTTTTAGTTGTAAAAAAAAAACTGTCACAAAAAATATGTAATTAATAATTATCATTGAATGTCAATCACCAGTTCATTAATTTCGTCAAATAACCCAGCACCTTCGCCACTACCAACAATTTTGTAAGATTGCTACATTTTTTACGCACTTAATTATTATTGTTCATAAGCATTATAAATAATACACATATAATAATTATTATGTATGTATTATTCATTTCGATTTCTAAGGATGTAAATTAAGCAGAGACTTCTATTTTGGCAAAGAGGGAAAACGATTTCTAATGAAAAAATTATTGCGAATGTAGAGGAATTACTTCAACGGTCTCCGAGTCAAGTTGATGCTGAAGAAACCTGACAAGCAATTTTCAGAACTTTAGAGTAGGCAAAACCACCAAAACCCAAGCTGCATATTTGCCTTGTGTCATAATCTAACAAGTCGTATTGCCAAGGTATTGTAGGAAAATGGAATAGGTACAAGGTCCATCTACATGAAATGTCCAACAGTAGTGAAGGCCGATAACAGACCGACTTAACTCACTGTTCACCCCGTAAAGTATACGGAAAATAGGTATGACAAAGACATCAGTTACTACAAGAAAGAAAGAACATGAACCGGCTCAGACCCGATAAGAAGAACTGAAATCAACATCAGGGCAAACGGGGTCCTGACAACGGGTCCGCCCACAGAGTCTAGCCTGAAAGAAAGTTCAACGTAAGTCCAGGTGCATAGACCACGCATAACAGTCCGATAATCCACAGTACTTTAAATATCAGCACAGACGGTGAAGACCTTAAAACACTATAATTTTAAGTTATAAAAATTATTAGTAAGCTTGTTGCGTCTTAATATATCAGAAAATAAAGATTGTATTACTTTATGTCCATCTGAAAACGGACACACTGTATATTCATACCGTATGTGTTGACGAAAATGCCATTAAAAGCAAGATGCGGAAAAAGTTTTGACCTATAGGTATGCGTTTAATACAATGCTTAGTCAATTATTTAATGCCTAGAAATTTACATATTTTTATTTAGATTTTTTTCTTATTGAACAAAAACCGTCTCTAGCCAATGCTTCTGGCGCCGGAATGAAGATTTATTGATTTAATTTTAAACTTCTGTCAAGCTTAGCAAAATAACCAAATAAATCAAAATATCGTTCTATTTCGTTTGTGTCTTAAGAGAGATTAAAAATGTCTACCTATGTGTAAAATAGTTCTCTCTCTGCTACCACTAAAATTAGATGCCTAATAATTTAGTTTTAGACAAAACATTTTTAAAACATCAAAATCTAGAAGACATCTAGTACTGGCGACTAATTTGACAATAAAAGTGGTGCTATTAATAGAAACATAATTTTCCTATAGAAAGGATATAGAATATGAACTAAAGCACCCATCTCACTTTTTTGTACTACTATTTCTTAGTTATTTAATTAATCGAACCAGATTAAAACCATTTCACACCACTGAAACTGCAAATTTTGTCTTTTGCTGGAATATGTCTAATTTGATTTAAAAATAGAAAACATTATTAATACACTGATGTATGTTGGATGTATTTTCAAATTAATCCAATATTCAGTTATTAGTTGATGTAAAATCAACAATACTTAACTTAAAATAAAAAGGCTTTTAACTTTATCTAATGGAACATTAATAATACAAACTTTTATTAATCTTTTATTTATTTTTGTAGCGAAAAGTGATATTAATTGAAAATGAAAGCCAAAACAAGTTCGGAATAAAGAAGAAACTAAATTTACGAAAAAAATCCTTTTTATATGTCTCAGACGTAAATATTACATCACAGGATGAAACAAATAAAACAGAAATAACGTTTTAACAAAACTAAGTGAATTGATATACACTTTTAAAGAAAATAAAATGTATTTTAGGTATCATCCATTCTGTAAATTGTGAGTATTAAATTTGAATCTCTGTGATTATTCTTGTTTGAGGAGCATTAAGTTACATGAAATCAATAAGAAAATATTTCATAATTTACAAAATGAGGAAAATATAAAATTAACGTGATACATTTTTTAAAGAAAATAATCAATTGCGGCAAAAACCGCTAGAATGCTAGAGGTATAAAAAATTTATAAGAAAGAAAAAACTTAAGAAAAATAAATCCTGAAGATCTGAACTTGTTTTTATCATAGACAAAATAGACTGAACTGTAGAGGCAAGCCAGCGAAGTCAACCGTCAGCCTAACTTCAGCCCAGCCAGCCTCGCGCTCTTAGTCGCTGTTAGACATTCGCTGTGTTAACATTGTTGCCGTTTTATTAATTATATTGTTTTTATTTGTGCAACCATAGTAAAGTGTATCGTTGACGATTCTAATAGCAGATCTGATCACAATAGTGCTGAAATTTCATTCTTTAGATAAGTAATAATATAAAAATATTTTATGGCATTTCGACAGCTTCGCGCAGCATTCTCCGTCTCACATGCACTTAAGAGGGTGAAAATGAAATTGGAATGAGTCAAAGCCATTAAGAAAAAGGATTGGACGCCTTCAAAATCGTCTGTAATATGTTCTTTACATTTTCAAGAGAAGTTTATTATTATTAATAAAAACGGCGTTAGAAATTTATCCAAAAATGCAGTGCCATCTTTAAACTTGCCAAGAGTGGTAACCAAACTGTCGTATAAAAAAGAAAAATGGCAATTTCAGAAATTGAAATAACATGTTTTTTTAAAAAACTCCTAAGAAAATAGTACACCCAAAAATAAAATTGTATATATTGTATTAAAAAACTTTTTGAATGTGAACATATTTAAAAATATGCTTAAGATCTTGTGACGACTGTATGTGAAAAGTATATCGATGTGAGAATAAATCATGAAGTTAAAATATTTAATTCAGTAAAATCTACTAAAAGACAAATATTAAATAAACTAACATTACTTAAAGGACAATAAATATATTTAAATTATTTTGTAGGTTTATTTAATATAAGCAAGACATTCAAATATATTATTTTCTGAAGTTGAAAAATGAATATTTGTCATATTATGTAGAAAAATATTGCTTAATCCGGACCTATTCAAAGTCAGATTACCTCGCACACTCCACTGCCCAGCAATTTGGCTTCACCGGTTCCCATGCTTTGGGATAGGAAACGTATACTCTATGTCAGGGGTCGGCAAGTAATTTTAGGTGGGGTCCGGATACTTTTGAAAATTTTTAACGAGGTCCAGAAAAAAATTCACATTTCTTATTTTTTATTTTAATTTGGACTCAAATTTAATCTGCTTACTAACCATTAAGAACTCAAAACACTCACACAATTGTAAAATAGTAGAAAAAATGATAAGATTGGCACTTAAACGTAAAAAACATTTTTTAAATCATTTATTTGAGTAATTTATACGTTCAAAAAATTTTTGGCGGTCCAGTATTTTACCTTCCGCGGTCCGGACCTAGACCGCGGTCCGCCAGTTGCCGACCCTTGCTCTAGGTGCTCTGTGGTAACCAAGACTTTTCGAGTTGTTATGTCATGGCCTACTTACCTGTTTCTTAGCTTCGACTAAAAATCTCTAACCGCCCTTGTTGTCCTCGAACTTTGATATAAACGATTTTATCAACTTTGTTGACCTTTGGTTTCTAAACGAAGCAACTTTGAATAGATATGTTTAATTAAATCGTAAATGTACACGGAGCATTGAGATACGCTGTACCTACTAATGACGAACTAGAATAAGCACAAATTAAATGTACTCTTACTAAAGAAGTTTATTTGTGATGCAGTGATTCATTTATTTTACTTAAATTATACAATTAACAACAGTTTTCTATAATCCATATTTTGCAGTGTGTGCTCTACTCATATGTCTAACCAGTGAATTTTTTAATTAAGTAACTCATGTGAAATCACTAAATATTTCCTTGCTTGATTTTTTCAAAATATCAAATTCACTCGTCGGTTCTTCTAAAAACTGTGTAATATGAAAAAGATGCCTTACACACCTGAAACAAGATACTGTATAACCTTAAATTGGTGGCAAATAGTAAAGGATATAGTATACTAGATTACGCTTGATGAAGTTACTCATTTATAGTCCATATCAAATTTTTATTTAAACACTTCAAAATGTGGAATATATTTTGATGAGAAATAAAAATTTCATACCAACGTCACCAAAAGATGTAGTTGAAAAAATTGACAAAACACATACAATTAATTTTCCATTTATCCGCTACATTGGAGAAGTAAAAAAAGTCTTATTCAGACTTAGACTATTGAAGTGTTGACAGGTTTTAACCCGTTCATAACAAAAAAATACTTTAAAAAAATAATAAATTGGAAATACATTTTTAAGAATGTATTTGAAGGCGCCATACTTACTGAGACCATAGCACTAAGGGTTAATGGAAAAAACTTTCCAATACTCAAATATATAGGCCGCTGCATACGACACATTGTCAGAACTAAAGAATGTTTGAATCTTTGGCTAGAACTAAACCAGTCGACCTCATATAAAGCAAACATTATATCTTCACTCTGAAAAATAGATAGTACCTACATTTCTAATTATTGTTTCACGTAATTAATTGTGTTTCAAATTTAAATCATGTTTAGAGATATCAATTGAATTAGTAGTAGACCAACCGCAGTAGTTATTTCACCTCCAAACCAGCAAACAACACCTAATTCTATCAATATCGACGTGAAATATACCAATGTTGCGAAAAACACTGCTGATCCAGCTGGCTCCTAAAAACAGAGTTTACTCATAAGTATACCAAATTCCACTAACTTACTGCATGAATTGCTTTGTGAGAACTATTTCACATTACAAACGCTAATGTTGGTTACAAAAATAAATATTTCAAATTGACCATAACAACATACTTACTCTAGATGCACTGAATAAACAGGATGCAACATTGAACAGAGATGTTAACGTTTGAGCAAGTATCATTAAATTGTACATACTTTCAAGTTCATCTGCCACTCTGAAAAGGTATAATTTTCAATTACTGATATTTTAGATAGCACATTATGTTTATTTAAAAACTCATCGCCATCTTGGTCAGATCAATTTTTACCTCATGGTGCATAAATTTTATCAGAATTTTTTCTTTTTGCTCCTTCGATGTCCACAAAATGTATTTCTCTTTTCAATAAACAATTTTAGTTCATTTTACTGAATGTCAGTGAAAGCACTAAGGAAGTCTTGGTAATGTCCTGAATATTAAAGAAATTTTATTTCTGAGATGGGTTTTTGAATGAACATAATATGCATATTAATTGATCAAAATTTTTACTTCAAATCTACCTTAATATTATAGTCAGGTGTTTAACTAAATGTTTAAACTCCTTATAAAGTTCTTCCTCGAGTTTAGGTAGAGTTTCATCGTGAAAAATGTCTAAACGCTCATCCAAAGCTAGTCTCTGCATTACCCTTTCTCTTATCGATCTAATAGCATCTTGCAATATTAACAGTTGTGTCTTAACACAGTTCAATAAGGCCGCTAGAAAGCCATCGTAACCTAAAATGTAACATAAAAGCTACGCTGACAACATTTTGAAGTCAACAGATTATTTAGTTACATCCGTTTCAATTCAAAAATTGCTTTGAAGTATATCTATTCCTACATATTCCGATATAAGTAGATGAAGGAATATAACGAGTAAACTAAATTTGACTGATTTAATTTATTTCGAGCCATATAATTAGTTCAACACGTTAAATAATAATTTTAATAGACCCAATAATGGGTACGTAAAATCATAATGTACGTATCTACTGGAGGAAAAAGTGAACAAACTGAAATCATTTCTGGGTAGCTTTACATGGGTATAGTATTTTTTAGTAATGCACTTACATCCAACCAACGTGCCGCAGAAAAGGACAGAAATGTCCATAAAAAATAAAACATAATCGCATTTAGTTGTGGTATCTACTTCAAATGGAATAAGAAAATAGTATGGCACAAAACCTTGACAACTATATTCCCCTTCAAATTTTGTCCCATTCACTTTGTTACGTATTGTTGCTGCCACTGAAACATGGGCAGATAGTCCCACAAATGCATATATACAATACATCTGAAAAATAATAGCACACTATTAGACCATTACAAGGGGCCCGTAAAGTAAACCATGGTGTTCATACAATTTTCGGTCACTAAATCTGAACCTGACCCCTGCTTTGACCCTTCTCATTAAGATTTTTTGTACATCGTTAGTTTACGTGTAAATCTTGAAAATTAGATGTTTGATGGACCTTTAATACAAACTCTATAACCTTGAAGTCCACTAACCATAAACCTGAGAATCCGAGTGACAGTACGAAGAGCCTTATATGACAATCTTGATGGTAACTTTGAAATAGAGAACTCAGTAACCCTCTTACTCCTAAACTCTTTATCGGGAACCACCTAACCAACAACTCCATAAACCTATGAAGCTGAGAACAGAGTTAGAATGCGAATCTATTAGATCACGATATTTATAGTTGATTTTAGCCTTGGACCCAAGACTCAAATAACCCTATAACCCCATAACCCTTTACTTTGCAGTAAACATATTTTAATTTCTTCGTCCTGTTTGTTTCATTTCCGATTTCATATGGTTACAGGGCTATAGAGGGCCAGTGAGTGTGTAAGGCTGCTAAAGAAATTGCCCGCAGGCTGATAACGGGCAAAAGTATTAGAATCTACACAGATATTAGACAATCAGTACTGATCTTGCATAATAATGTCCAGATCGATATGAAAATGCCAACAAGCGTTGGTTATGGCCTCAGTTACCAACAGCTGGATTAAGAGACACGACCGGTGCAATGTCAATAAAGAAGCTCACAAGCTAACTAGCCAGTGTGCTCTCGTTGTCAGTACTATTTGAAATGATTAAGGAAAACCCCCACAAAGAGTTTAGAACACGGTGGGATGAAATAAATAGCTGTCGATTTGCTAAGAAGTTCTTAGGATACCCACAGCCAAAAAGTATCTGGCTATGTCCAGGGTAAGTCTTCGCCTGATGACGAATATTCAAACCGGGCACTGTTGGCTAAGGAAACACCTCTACAATATGAGGAAGTGCGAAACACCTCTATGTAGAGGTTGTGAGCAGAAAGACGTAACAGTTTTCCGTGTACTCTGCGAGTGCCCTGGTGTCTCGTCAACAAGAGAATCCGTACTAGAAGAACGGTGGCCTCCTATGGCCTACATCAGAGAGATCCCCCTAAGCAACATCATCATCTTTTTCTCCTTGATTGGTTGGCTGACGGCTCAAGAGAGCTGATCTCTCGATGGGAGGATGCACAAGGGGCCCAATGGGGCCTAAGTAATGTAACTCAGTATACCGAGTTAACCTCTAAATTATTCCAGAATCTAGGGCTATGGAGGTCTTGTGTTTATGGGGTCATGGTGATTTATTATAGACATGAGTCTTGGTAAGGTTAATCAACCATAAATGTAATCACTTGTATTCCTTCGTTCTGTTCGCACAATTCCCAGTTTTTGAGGTTATTGGGGTCATTGTGGTTTCTGATAAAGGGCAATAGGGTTACTGAGTTCCTAAGTTCAAGGTTTTGTAACCCATCAAGATTTTCATCAGATACAAAACTCTTATTGTCAGGTTTATGTAGTTATAGTATTGTGTTGTTACAAAGTTGAGGTAAGGAACTTTCAAGGATATAGGATTTGTATGAAAGGCCCATGAAATACGTAGTTTTATTATTTGACGTTGAATGGATGTGGGACTCTGAAATCTACTACTGAGGACTTTTCAAGGTATTCATATAAATTAATTTACAAAAAATCCTAAAGTTTAGGATCAAAAGGCCAGATAAAGATTCAGTGGGCAAAAATATATAAAACATAGCCTGCTTTACGGTGACGCAGACACTTTATCTTTGTGGGCCTATGTTATCAAAGTACAGCAAGAAAAAATTAAGAAGTATTAATAAATTAAGAAAGGCAATTACACAGACAGGCAGAGTGTCACATGCTACAACTTTTAGAAGTGATTCTTTTTTAAATAAACAAAAAAATTCTCTCGGTGGAATAGAAGAGGTTTGAAAGATTTTCTGTCAAAACAGTACTGAAGGAACTTATACTATATTATTTATTTATTACATTCTTCTAACTCATTAAATAAATATTTTAATATTAAATACTCCATCCAAATTTATAAAAGATTCATTTCCTTGACAGTAGAGACATGTCAAAACCTTCTCAATTCCGACACCACTAGATAGATCTAACAAAATAATTCTTACCGATATCGAACACAACTGACTAAACCTCTTTTCCTTTCTAAAAATCAGTGATGGGTTAAACTTTTTCGTGTACTCGTACTGATAATTTTTATCATGAAGTATATCCATAATGTTTTTGAACCTACTGTACTGCAGCACCATAACTGCAACTTTTGCAGCTCCCAAAACATTACTCAATAAAAGCCCAATGTGGCTAAAGAATTTGTTGATGTCTTTGGAGGTTTCATTTAGGATCAGAAATTGCAATGTGAGAAATATCCCTGCGGTTGTATACTCAAAAGAGGCGAAACAGATTTGTAAGTACCTTTTCCATCTAGATTCGCCATTGGAATCATATAACCATAATCCCATTATTTTACACAATATTTCATTTGTTTTAAAAAAATTGTTTAAATATCCAGAATGCTCCATCATTTTTAACTTATGCATCCGTATAATGTGATTTAGGTTTACTAAATATTAAATTACTGTAAACCAAACAAATGTTTGTTTCCTGGCAATCGATTATTTACAAGAAAACGAGAAACCGAGAAATTCTTACGGGTAGATATATCAAATATTTGACAAAATTTATATACTGTTAACAAAGAAAATAATCTACTGGATACAATTATACAATTTCAGTTTTCTAATGACTGCATAGAAGCTAAGTAGCTACAAGTTTTTCTTCATTTAGGCAAGGCAGATCACTATTTAAGTTTTTATTTCCATCAAAAACCTAATCTAATATTAACATATTCACATAAAACTCTCCGTACAATAACATAATAACGAAAGAAGATTTTTAAGTTCAAAGAACTCCTTGATGATGTCATTATAAGCTTCACTGGTTTTCCAAACAAAATTGTAAATGGCGCTGTCAAAGTAATTATTTCTGTCTGCGTACGTACACACAAGATAAATTTAAGTCGTACTACAACTGCTGGCCAGGTACCGAACTCTGGTTGTATAACAGCATGGTCCCCTGACTAACGTAAGAACACAGTCGACGCTGGCTCTGGTGAGTGATCCGGTCTGATTTTGAAAAATTTACGTTTTTGAAAACTGCTCCTTTGTGGATTGAAGGCGTGTCAAAGGGTTGGGCTACTGAGAATGATTTTGTTTAGTATTGACATTGAGATAGTTTTGGGGTACGAGTTTGAAGTTTCTGGGACTTTGTAATTTTCGTCATTTTTGGAAAGTATAGTGCAATTTTCAAAAATTATGGTAAAATCTGTTAGCGGCTTTCTGCGAGATTGTAGACATGTAGCGTTTTATCACACGTGTATCAGCATTATCTGGTACGTCTGAGGTCTTCGAACGGTAATCGTTGCTCTACGGGGAAAAAACTCTAGGGAAAAAGTTTTCGAAACATGGTATATGTAGAAGGTCATCTGCGATGATTTACCTATGAATTCCTATTGTTTTGACATAGACTGCACTTTGTGGGGATCTTATCGAAAAATTGATGAATTATTTCGAAACATGTATGAGTTTCGTATTTCTAATATTTCCGGATCTTCAAGGCGTAAATAATGGACTATGCTTTGAATGAGTCGTCAAAATTACTTTTGGAAGTAATTCTCTGAAAAGACGAAAAATATCAGTTTCTTTTAGCTGTTTTACATTGACAATTTATTGATCAATTAATTGATGAAGTCGCTTCATCAAGAAATTGGACAAGTGTAATGCACCAAATCAGCTGTCAAATAACTTCATCAATTTATTCATCAAGTTCTTGACGAATTAGAGCATGTTCTAATTTTCGTCAATTTCTTCGTGAAGTTCGGAAGCACCAAGCCAATATGTGTCTGAACGATACCGCTGTTGTATCACTACAATTATGAGTGGAAAGGCGACATTTTTGAAATTTATTTGCTTCTTTGATTCATTGATAGAACTGATTCATACGTCAAAAACTTGACAAAGTCCGTGGCAGTGTAAAACCATACTGTTTATCAATAAATTCGTCAATTAATTGACGAAGAACTTCGTCAATTTATTGATGAATAAATTGTCAATGTAAAACAGCTATTTTGCAACATCTCTAATTGAAATGTCAGATTGATTATCTTCTATATGTTCAGCTCTACAG